AAACAATGGGAAATGCATCGTTCTTTGGCTAAACAGGATAAAAGCTAACTTTAATTACTTCCTGGTAAATATATTCTTAGTGCCTGGCCATCACTATTGAGTATTCAGTTGTTCAAGAAGTTCTCTCTTTATAGAACCTGAAAGATCCTCATTCATCACCAACTCCCTCCTTTACATTCTACAAGTCCAGGAATATTAAAATAATTCTTGCATGAAACATGCCACATGTGCAGTGACGGTGACTCAATGGCCTTCCATTTACCTGACAGGCCCACGTCGTAACATTCCGTGCTATGGTGAAGCCAGATTGTTAATATAAACACAGATTTGGGTAGAAAAGGTAAACTTATCCCTGTGCTTAAGTAATTAAGCACTACGCAATGAAGATGTATGGGGGAGTGGATGTATGGATCCACGTTTTCTTGACCTTGGCACTAGCTTGAGATGAGTGGTCATTTTCACGCCCCGGCCGCTTTACCCCCGGGGAAAGAGACCCGGTACCCATTGGATTGGAGGCTGGGTTGACCCCAGAGCCGGTTTGGATGACACAGAGAAGATAAAAGTCTTCCCCCACCTGGACTCGAACTCTGATTCCTTGGTTGTTCAGCCCTTAGCCAGTTGCAATACCAGCTGCGCTATCCTGGCTCTATACACAGAATTGGGTTCCATTTTCAAATTATAACCGTGCAATATCGTCTGGGTGTTTTAGCAGCCCCTTTGTGTGTGAAATGCTTTTGGCCCTGGATGTCTCAGTATGAAGGTATATGCCTTGAATTTTATAACCACACTCCATCATAAGCACCACCACCACCGCCACNGTCGTTATTATTATTATTATTATTATTATTACTGTTATAATTAGAGAGCCAGGATGCCTCCGTCGGTATAGTGACAGGCTACTGGCTGGATGACCAGTGCTTAATTCACAGCAGAGGCAAAATTTTTCTCTACTCCAGTGCCCAGACTGACTCTGGGGTCCACCCAGCCTCCTGTCCAGTTGGGACCGGGGGCTCTTTCTCAGGGATAAAGCAGCTGGGGCATGGAGATGACCACTTGCTTCCACTAAGTGACAAAGTCATATATTTTCATGACACAGTGCTTAATCAGTTAAGCAGAGGGACAATTTTACCTTTACTTTACGCATGATTGTACTGGTTTGAAAACACTCCAAACATTTAATTTCCTTTAAAGTACCTCGTGTCTCTTCTGCTGTCATTGATTCCACTAAATGGTGGGTTTATTGATGAAAAGCCTCCAACTGTGTTTGCCTGCCCACAATTCTTAACCTTGCACCTCTGTCCATACTGTTCCCCTATTTGTATTATTATCAGCCACTTGCGTAAGCCACCTCTGTCTGTTCTCCTGAGACTGTAGTCTGGTTTCCATTAAACAGTGAGATGATGCATGAGAAACATTCAAATGTAGCTGCACTCCCACAGTTTTTCATCTTGAGCCCACAAGTTTCTCCTACTGGTTATATCACCCATCACTCATATGGATAAGCCATCTTGATTTGAGTTGTCCTTTGGAACTTTTGCCTTTTAACATATAATTCCAAATCCCTACCATGCCATCTGATTACATCCACTGTTTCAATATGGCCCAATCACTGTAAGCTTTTCATCCATGAAATGTCAATTTCTATCCTTGTGTTTCTGCAGAGCTTTCTCTACAACTTATTTGTTTACAAATTTAACATACCCTCTCCTGCAAACTTCTTCCTTTGTATTCAGGCAGTAAGGAAGTCCTGTTGTGTACTATCTCCAGCCCTACCCAACCAATTCAGTTTTGCTGGAGCAATTGTTGCATTTATAAATCATTTGCCACTGACGAGGCACAGTGGAACAAGACAAACTGAATCACCAGTCCAAGTAAAGCCCACTGATAAACAGCTTTCATTATGCAGACAGACAATTTATGTGGTTTTATTACATTTATGCAGTGAAATTTGTCAGAGGTTTATGATATTTCATTACTATGCCCATCAGAATTGTTTATATGGATGGGACTTAAGTCCCCCTCTTTTATCACATGCCTCCTCTTCAAAAATCGTCACATAGGACCATCAGATATTTGTGTAAAACATGAGGGTTAATAAAATGTGAAATAGAATGGCATAATAGATAACTAAACTAGAAAATCGCAAAAACATATGAGTACTTCGCACAAACCAACCTATAAATTCGACCTTATACAATGTTTATAACAAGTAGGTACAATATTTCTCTGTGACAGTGTTGTTAACCACCAAATGCCCGTCCCCCATTCATGCCTATCTTCATTCACTGCAGCCTCTGATACAAGTTAACAAAAAAGAATGAATACGACTACAGTGAACTATGTCTCTCAATTTTGGCATACTTATTTTCAATTAATTTAAATATTAATTGGTCTTATATTATGAAGATTATTGAAATGGTCAAATGACTTGTTTAAATCCTGAAAAACCATAGAAAAATTTAATGATTAAAAAAGGCAATAAGCAAATATTATTTTTGATATAACTTGTAACTTCAAATACAGGAAATAGATAGCTTTGGTTGTCTTTATTAATATAAACACACATAAGCATGAATGTGAAAACTATATATATTTTTTTCTCCTGTGGTTTCTTGCTCAACCCTAGGGTCCCAGTGAACCCCCAGTTGAGAGAGTCTGCTTTAACAGAAGGCTGTTAGAATCAAGGTATGTAGGTGCAAAGAACAGATAACCAGTAAAGAGGCCTGATATACTATTTCTAGCTATGGAGTGTTTATTGGCTCTAAGAACATTTCCAGTCAACAACTTAGAAGTGTTTCATAAATATTCAGAATTCCATGCAGTCAATACAAGATACAAGCGTGAACCAGTTGCAGATGTTACAATCTACCATGAGGTAGTATAGCATGCTGGAAGAAAACTTTATACCCCACCTAGCCCTGCAGTAAGCCATTCAAAATATCACTAAAGACAGTTTTGTGATTCGGAAATTCTGCATTGCAATATTATATTTAAGCATCCTGTTGCATTACTATAACTTTTACACAGAATATTAATAATACGCTCCAATCAATAATGCAACTATTTTATTCTTTTCCTTTTACCACATATTTTGGCCCCAGACCGCCATCATCAGGTATCTTAATTTACCAAAACTCTTATACTATACTGAATATCACTCATTCGCTTCACATGTAACTGCAGTATTCTGTGATATTAATGTTGTAGTCACAATCTAGCTAACACTAATTGACTTACCATATGCTGTAATTTACTGTTTATTAGAATTCATTAAGAATCATTAAAATTTAAAATGTATGTTTTTTTCTTAAAATTTTGTAAAATTCTGTTTACACCTCACTAGTGTGCTGTCCACTTGTCCAGACAATATATTTCAATCCTTTCCTTGGATGTTTATAGTGTAGCAGCGGCCTGTTGTTTTCTATATGTAAGCCTATTGTTTTTACTTTTTGCCCCTTGTCTGTAAGTCATTCTCTCCACCAGCATATGGTGTTTTCCTCTCTTGTAGTAGATGTTGTGAGGTGTAAAAAGTATTTTTCAAAATTTTAAGAAAAAGGAAACATACATTTTAAATTTTAATGAATTTTAATAGAAAGTAAATTATGGTGTGTGGTAATTCAACTAATGTTAGCTAGATTGTGACTACAACATTAATATCATGGAATATTGCAGTTACGTGTGAAGTTAATGAGTGATATTTAATACAGCATAAGAGTTTTGGCAAATTGAGATACATGATGATGACTGGTTGGGGCCAAAACATGTTGAAAAAGGGAAAATGAAAGGGAGAGAATAAAATAGTTGCATTGTTGATGGACCTGTATTATTCATATTGTGTGTAAGAACTTCTACCTTGCAGATTAATTCCTATTTTGATTAAGTACAACTTCACCAGTCATTGGTCAGATCACCACATAGTCAACATGTTTCACCCACACAGTGATTCAACTATTATAGTAAAATCCTAAAATATAATTTTGAATAAGTGTTTGACTGTATGCAAACATGTGTCTGATTGAAACAAATTTCTTTAACGTGTGGACTGTATCCAAGTGTGTTGTTGCCCATACTGCTAAGAAATCTTAGCCTAACTGTAGTCATGTATCTGATTGCAGTGCATAAACTTATAGGTTGCCTTTCCAAATGTGCTGTGTTGTTTTCTGATATAGGCCCATACCCTTTGTCTAGAGCTGGTGGGATACAGACATGTCTTCCAGCCCATCTCATTGGCAATGGTGGCTTTCAGAAACTTGAACTCAACTCATTGTGTCTTGTCTTGTCAGTTCATTGTAAACCTGATTTTTGAGGATCCAAGCAAAATTCACTCGCAGCAGCCTGTGGTAACAAGCCTCAACTTCAGCATTAATCACGGAGAGACAGCAGAATATTACAGGGATACAGAAAAATCATTAGAATTTAAGAGAATAGCTTCCATGCAGTGGTAAAATAACAAGTAGTGGGACATTTTTAATTAATTGGATTGACTCTCTTGGTATATTTACTAAATTTAAAATTATTTTGTGGGACTATGTATTCTAATATTCATTGAGGTTAGCTCTATGTAATCGACGTAACAACCCTGTGTTCTATAGAGTACCGGACAACGGTCAAAATGCAAAAACTCAAAACTCTCAAAACTGAGAGATCCCGCGGAATAGTAGAGAATTTCACGGCAACTAAGCAGCCGATGCCGGAAATATAGCCATTAAATGTAAGACTCGCATATAGATGGCAGTAAATGAAACTGCAAACCATTTCTAAACTGATCCATGGACAGTTGTAGCACGGACCTGCAGTTATTAGTAATCCTCGGTAGTTAGTATCAGTCAGTATTCCGTGGCGGTAGCCATTTTCGTAAATGGATTCAGGTTAGAATGGTAGTGTTGTCCAAGACATCAAAGTTATGAAACGTTTTCCCTCACTCGTAGACTGCAAGCGTCGGTTCGAATCCCACAGTAAGCATGGATGTCTGTTTGCGTTTTGTGTGTAGGTAGCGGCCTTCCGACCGGCTGATCCCCTGTGGAAGGAGGCCTACCGACTGTTAAGATACTGAAAAAAAGCGGTCAAGGTCCACAAGGTCTTCAGAGCCGTAGTAGGTGGAATGGAGTGGAAGTTTTTGATTTAATTAAACCAAATTTCATTAATGTGTGGCGTATGTAATTTCAGTATTAAGTTTTAAAAACGTGTCGACATAAGATTTTGCAGTAAGTGGACAATTATGGTGTGTAGCAGCATGTGTAATGTTCATCATATATGTTCCTGTAGTTTGAAGCTGGCAGTATGTAGAGTATTCGTATTTGTGGGCTGTTTCCGTCCTCAGATTACAGGATAAGGTAAGGAATCCTAGCTGGTTGGGCCTCCTTCCCAGGCCACAGTTTAGTTAGTTAGTACCAAGGAAACAATGAGTTTATCGAACAGCATGGTTTGAAGAAAGTGGGACTGCAGGCAGCGTTCAAAATACCTAGTGAAAAGATCATTTGAAAAGGCATCTGAATAACCAACCTGTAGATGGATTATTATTAATGATCATGTAAGCATAGTATAATTGTTACTACTTGTTTGACAGTTCTGGAGAGGCGCCTGTGGAGAGACTGTCATCACAACTGATGTCAGAGCGAGACAGAAACACGTAACAGATTCCCTGCCTCTGCTATATGTTCTATGATGACATCCTGTGTGGGAGGTATGTAACACATGAGATTTTTTGTACACTTCTGAGACTGAACATTTTTGAGTCAGTAGCCATGTGTGTATTCTAGAGGCCTCAGACACATCTCATTCCAGAGATCTGTCATCCTGATGGAGGTGTTTCTTAGTTTTGCTGAGTGGCAGAATAGTTCCTCAAATTCGGCACAACAGTTTTTCACTATTCACTGATAATCCATTGTTGAGTGAGTGCTGTAGGGTCAGTCTAGCGGAGGATAGGGTGCAAAGTGTATCAGCAGAAATAGGCAAGTGGCATGAAGCTGGGAAGGGCAGAAGGCCACACACACACACACACACGTGTCAATGCTAGTCTTCTTCTGTGTTTGGGTATAGCACTCTGTTGAAATGGTAAAGAGTACTGGCATTTTGCAAGACTTTGCTGTCACTTGATATCATTGCAGCAGATGAAATGTCAGCAGCAGTCATTGGTGAGGAGCGTATGAGTTCAGTCGGAGAGCAACCAGCAGGTTTGTGCATCACTAAAGTTTAGTGCCTCTTGTAGTTCCAAACTCAGTGTCAGGGGATCATCTTGATTTAGCACACTTGTGGGTTGGTTAACACACTTCATGGTGCACTCAGATTTACAAGTAGAATTTGTAGAGGTTTATCTGTGCTGTCCATGTTGGCAGTCCTGGAATGGTGGCATCAGTGAAGGGTAGCTGTTGCCAGCAATGAAGGCTGTCAAGTTTCTGAGTGAGCAGGAGCCACACGGCATCTTCCTCTCTGTGGATCCATGTAAGAGGCATAATTCAGTAGTCCCCCCCCCCACCCCACCAGAGAATGCATCCTGTTGTGTATCATATGCTATTTCTTACTGAAAACCATCATAACACAACAATCAGTAATGCGTGTAAGTAGCTCTAGGAGATACATTTGCTACATGTTTCGCCCATGGTTACCATAATAACTCAATCAATACCATATACAGTCACTAAGTAATTCAATAATAGTTACCAATGCTATATTATTTCCAGGTATCAAATATTTAATAATAACATACAACATAACAATGGGCCTCCAAACACCACATCAGCCGTTGTGTATATAATACATCCGTATAAGCATTACATATATTACATTTACAACCGCCAACTTCCAAATACCATAACATATACAACTTTTAACTATACTTTTGACTGTGTAACTGGTTATTTAAGACTTCAACTTTTATTGTAATTTATATTTTATGAATTTGATTTGTTTCATTCTGGTCTGTCACACTAACAGTTACAAAGACAAAAACAACACAGTCCAGTGTGACTATTTAAATTTTATCACTTGAAAACTCATCACCCTTACATGTTTAGATCCCTACGGATCATCCTCAGAGGTCATAAATACTTTTTCCAGAAACTACTATTACAATAGGTGTTAAATTATGTACATACACATATAATGTCTGAAATACACAATGTACACAATGTTCAACTTTTCACAGTCACAGCAGCCTTCCTGGTATTATTTTTTTTTTCTTGTTTAAAGTTTTTAAAGAATTTGTTGTTTAAGATTAAAATTTATAAACCATGCAGGTTCGTCTCAATTCTCCTGTTGTCTTTCTTGGAGGTGGCTGATCTTGTGCTGCTTGTCTATCTTGAGAAAGGAGAATCTTAGAATTGTCCGTGGCTTGCTGTGTTGTTTACACAGTGTAAACAACACAGCAAGCCACAAGCGGCACAAGATCAGCCACCTCCAAGAAAGACAATAGGAGAATTGATACGAACCTGCATGGTTTATAAATTTTAATCTTAAACAACAAAGTTTTTAAAAAACTTTAAAAAAAATTAATACCAGGAAGGCTGCTGTGACTGAAAAGTTGAACGTTGTGTACATTGTGTATTTCAGACATTATATGTGTATGTATATAATTTAACACCTATTGTAGTTTCTGGAAAAAGTATTGATGATCTCTGTGGATGATCCGTAGGGATCATAACATGTAAGGGTGATGAGTTTTCAAGTGATAAAACTGAAATAGTCACACCGACCGGTGTTGTTTTTGTCTTTGTTAAATCTTATATTAACTGAGATCATTTTATACCATTGTATACACTTGGAAGTTTAGCACTGTATCCTATATTTGACATGCGATTCAGTAATGAAAAGTTTAATATATTTGCCTGATGATGGCCTTTTGAAGGCCGAAACATGTAGCAAAAGTATCTCCTAGAGCTACTTACACATATTGATTGTTGTGTTGTGACGGTTTTCAGTAAGAAATAGTACATGATTTGTTAGTGTTTCGCCTGATGATGGCTTCATGAGCTGAAGCATGCTGCGACAATGTACGACCAGTAAACCGTGTTTATGCACAGAGAAGTGTCAATGAATTGTTTGGTAAACTGTTGTGTTTGACAGGAAAAACAAAACTCATATGTAGCATCTTCCTCTGTCTAGCTCATGCAGGGACCCTCCTGTACTGAAAGATGTGTGTGTTCAGATGCCAGACATGCGTACCAGTTTTTGTTAGCATATACAGTGCCCCATTTAGGCAGGTGACGTTCCCTGAGTTTTTTCTGAATATTTTCATTAGCAGACATGCCCCTGCTCAGTGGTAACTTAATCTTGGCCCCAGACTAAAGTGTTGTATAGTGTCTTGGGGTTTGTAGCCCAGTGGAGCTCATTAATATCACCCAATGCCATCGTCCTGTGTACCTGTCAGATAGACTGCACTAGTGATACAGTCGACACACAAAAACTACTACAGCCACGATAGAATACGACGGCATTCTCAAATGTTGACGTGCATGGAAGCACAGTGAACAAGTATACAGTGCAGTGGTCTCCCCAAAAGAGGGGAAATTACCTGAAGATGGCCCGTATGTGGCCAAAACATGTAAACTAGAACAAATATATGACTAGAGACATTTTAGAAAATTGGATAATCACTTCTAATGTACAGAATATGCTTTTAATGTCCTATTGACATATAATGATTTTAACATCAAGAAGTATTGAAATACTTTTTTAGTGTGAAACATATTCCTAATGTCTATTATATTGTTGCATTATTGATGGATACTTTGATAATAAAGATGATCATTAAATAGCTTGTGCCACTTGACAGTGAAGCATATCTTGAAAACTAAACCTCACAGGACACAGTTTGTGCAATATATTTGATGTTCTTGCTTTTTTTTCACTCTGTATAGTATGTTCAGATTTACAATTTGTAAAGCCGTGCATAATTGTTATAGTATATTGGCAGTTTGGGAGCTGTATCAGTGAAGAAAATCTGTATCGAGTTTGTGGGTGAGCAAGGATTGTGCAGCTTCTACAAGGAGCCCCCTGTACCACAGGTGTCATGTTGCATTCACTCTTCTAAGCCAGCATTTTTTGACCTTGTTACGTAGATATAGTAAAATGTAATTTCACTGCTTGATAAATTTTAGCAGCAAGAAACTCAGAAAAGACCCTGTTGCAAGTTTTCAATTGAATACAGGACATGACTGCCTTGCAGCACATCTTTGTAAGATAGGAATATATAACACAGAAGAGTGTACACTGTGCAACTTGCCAGGATCATCTATGGGAAAAGAACACCTCCTTCAGTGCCCTAATCTTAACAAGGAAATGCAATGTAGCAAGAACTTGAGTGCTCTCTATTGGGAAGCAAGAAGCAAAATGGGTTAAATGATCCCAAATGCAGCCATTGGAAATCAACCAACCAGCCAGCCAATATCTCATATTACTTTCCCCCCCAGTTCAGTACTGTAAGGAAGTAAGCACGGCATGTAGGGACCTTGTATACAGGACAGGTGGTGAGGGGGGGAGAGGCTTTCAGGTAGTTAGTGTAGCAGCATGTGTTTGGTCTCATATGCAGGGTTGTGACACAGGGTTAGTGATTGGCGTGCTTTGTCTAACGGTATGAAAATAGATTCCTACTTGAGCTCCTGCTTTCAGGTGGCAGCCTGTGTTAGGAGGAGCCACATGTAGGCTCGGTTGGTGGCATTCATTAGAGCAGGGCATCAGCCAGTCAGGAAATAACAGCACTACCTATTGTTAATCCTCACCACTAATGGAAGAAAAATAAAACTCTTGCTGTATTGTATGTACATCCCAGTAATTTGTTGTGCCATTTTGCATTGCAGGCCAGATCGTAGTCTGTACTTGATGTGCTGGTGTATGGGAGGCTTCTGAGATGGTGCAGCCTCTGGATGCAAG